GTAGGCATTGTGTTCTGGAGAACGGGTGATTGGGAGTGTGTGATGTAATGTTGCCTTCTTGTGGGAGTCCTTCTCCATATGGCTATTGCAGGGTATGCGGCTTGTGTGAGAGTGCCCTGGAGTCAATGATGGAACTAGCTTATTATAACTGTGAAGGGGCTATTTGGGTCAAGTCAGAAACACACAGACTTTTTGAATCAAGGCTTTGTGTTTGTTTTCTTAAATGTCTTGGGGAAGAGTTTGGGTTTTGTTTCGTTTCCCGTCTTTTATGGAAGCTTGTAAAATATGTACAATTATCTAAGAGAGCCATTTTGGCCTATCATTTCAAATCACATTTAAGCAGCTTTTTATGTTCCCGATAGAAGCTGTTCCAGTCTATGGAACAAGTAGGTATTTAAGCAATTAATTTAAATGGTACTGCACACCCCGTAGACAGTAACCACCTACAGAACTGCCATTCCAACTTAACAGTTAATTATTTATTTACATTTTAGCACAACAGACCACAATCTTATTGTGTAAAAATATATTTAGCATGAAAATACATATTCATGTAATAAAGACACTTGCATCCTCATAGTTTATCACACTGTGGTAAACTTTACTATCTGCTTTTTTCCACAGTACCTAAGTTAATTGCTCTATATTATGACAAATACTTTGCCAAAGTTCATTTTTAAAAACATTGAGCCTTTTCACTCCTTCCTGTTCATGCTGTTAAAGTGTGAATCACACTCCGCCTACTAGTTGGTCCTCTAGAGTAGGGGTGGGTAATAAAAAATGGTAGCCCACAAGCTTAGTCCCTGGTGGCCCACCACCACTATGTTTACCTGCTCCTCCACAGGTATCAGAGGATCACAAGGTTGGCCACAAATCACCATTCACGGCCAATGCAAGCGATGGGAAGAGTCATGGACTGGGACACCGCTTCCCAACACTTGTATTGGCTGCAAATGGTGATTCACTGCTGACCAGAGCTGCAATGCTCTGATACCTGCGGAAGCGTAGGTAAACATGGAGGTGGGGGCCTGCCAGGGACTAACCCTGTGGACAGGATACTACCCATGGGCTAGCATTTCCCATCCCTGCTCTAAAAGATAACAGCACACATAAAGTTACTCCTTTAGCTCAAGTGGAAGAGTTCTGTTCCTTGGTGCCACCGTGCAATTCCTCTATGCATGGGTGGGAATTCTAACAGGCATTCTGAATCTGAGAGCTGCTGTGTTTTTTGGCATAGTGGTTGTGATTATATAATAACTAGCCAATTAGCCTGTCATAGTATGGAATTTTCAGGTCTCTCCTCCATGTCGGTCTTCTCTCCTGAGCCTCCGGTCTCTCGCTCCATGTCTCTTTCTTACTTTCCTCCTCCTCTTGCCTCCCACCCTCTCTCAGCTCTCCTCCTCCTTCTGCCTCTCTCTTTCTCTTCTCCCCCTCCTACCTCTTACTCTCTCTCCATTCTCCTCTGTCTCCATCGGGGATGCACGCTTGTCCAGGCCCTGCCCCCTAGGCATGTATGTCACTTCCCTGCCCCCCTTCACCTCCCGCTGTGGTGCTCAGCTGACTTCTGCACCGCTCAGCCAGGCTGCCACGTGGGAGCAAGTGGCACAAACGGCCTCTCTCTCTCTTCTCCTCCTACTGCCTTGCCCTCTCTCTCTCTCAGCTCTCATCCGCCTCCTGCCTCGCTCTCCATCTCTCTCTCTTTCTCTTCTCCCCCTCCCGCCTCACACTCTGCGTTTCTCTTCTCCTCTTCCTGCTGCGTCTCTCTCTCTCTCTCTGTCCTCCGCCTCCTCCGTTCTCCTTTCTGTCTCCTCTGCATCCTCTGTGTCTGTTCCACTTTCCACCTTTTGAATCCGGTGCCCTTCTCTGACATCAGAGACGCATGCTCATCCAGGCCCCGCCCCCTGGCTGTTCCCTCTGAGTGATGCTGTTGCCTCCCTCCGTGGCACTCGCCTGACTTCTGCGCCGCTCAGCTGGGCCACCGCATGGGAGCAAGCGGTGCAAGTGGCCGTTTGGGCCCTGCGCTCCCCATGCAGCACCCACATGCTTGCTCCTGCGCGGCGGCCCAGCTAAGTGGTGCAGAAGTCAGCCGAGCGCCACGGCGGGAGGCAAGAGCGCCGCCCAGAGGGAACAGCCAGCATTACAGAGTCACAGATGTTGGGCTACTATATATATGACTTGACACTTCTATAGCATCTTTTATCAAAGAGTTAGGATCCATGGTATCAGACATACTAATGGTCTGTAGTTGACATCATACTCAGGACTTTTCAACAATATAAAACTCAGGCCTCCATCACAAGTGTTAAAGGGCATGTTGTTGTAATCACTGGGACCAACACTATACATGTGATTTGATGCACTAAGCCAATTTATTACACAGAGACTTCAAAGCCATTAACAGATATTAGGAATCCTCACCATGTCCCTTCAAGACAAGTAAGGATTATTATTTCCTGTTTAAAAGGGGATAAACTGAGACACGCACCTGGTAGACATTTACCCAGGTACCTAAGTCCCTTCTCATTATGTAGCCCCACTGTGGGAACTGAGTAGAATAGTTTGTATCAGGGGATTTCTGCACAGGTCTGAGAGGGAAAATGTGACTAGAAGTCAGGAGAGAAGCCATTGGATCCATGATTATGTAGTTCCAGTGGCAGAAATCCCAGCCTATGCTAGTTTCTCTTAGAGGGAGTTCAGTTCAGCCCCATGAGATGGGAATTGAAGGATTTCATCCCTGCAAAATGCCTGATTATTTAGGTCCTAAAAAACCTTGGAGAGTCAAACCATGTTTCCTATAGTGCATGTTTTTTATCAAAGGCCCATGTACTGGGCATTAGTCCCTCTGGTTACATAGGCTTTGTGCAGCAGTGTGCGTGGCTGTCCCCTGGATAAGTGCTGCAGATCTGCAGCCAAGGTCTGCACAATAGCAACCGCAAATCCTGATCCTCAATCCCTTCATCTAAAAAACATTCCTGTTGGTTCATAAAGTGTGGGTGTAGATCAGTAATGGGCAGCCAGGGCTAGTGAGTGGGCTCTATGAGTGACCATTCTTCATCTCAGTGAGCAGCAAGATTGAAATTGGGCATGCGCATTACCCATGACACCAAGAATAAGATTAAATACATTGCACTTGATTCTCCTTCTTTATCGTGCCTTTTCCGCACAAAGTGATCCGCTATTAGGGCAAAAATTAAATTGCTGGCAAAAGTAACAAAGCAGCAGAAGGAGTGCATGGCTCTTACAATATTGTGTGCAATCAGCATGCATCTCACATGTGCCCTTGCTTTAAATGTGTGTCACTTCTCATTTTGCCAGGGGCTGCTCAACCCTCCCCTCTTTTCCAGCCCACCCCCACTCGACCCCTTCCCTCAAACCCCCATCTGGTCTTTTCCCCAAGTGCGCCCTCTCCCTCCCTCTCAGCACTTCCAAAGTGCTGTGAATCAGCTGATTCATGCACAGTCTCTGCTCCTCCCCCTCAGCTGATTCACAGTATTCAAGCTCTGGGGAAAAGGGGGAAGAGTGGGGATGGGGCATGGAGCAGCTGATGGAGGGAGGAGTAGGAGTGGCAAGTTCAGGACCCCCTATCTGAGAGAGGTGTGGGGAGAAGGGGACAGAGTGGGGTTGCGCAGACAGCACATAGAAACCTGATGGGTCGCATGCAGCCCACAGGCAGCAGGTTGCCCACCTCTGGTGTAGATCAAGGTTTTAGCCCAGAATTAATTTTGTCACTGAATCATCATGTCTTGAAAATAGGGATTTATAACGCAGGTATTTTCAGACCTTGACTATAAGCAGAACTGTGAATATAATTATCCTGATAATAAAAATAACATACTGATTCCAGTCAAAATTGGGATAGAAACTCTTTGCTTTGAAGTCCCATATTCTATGTTTTAAGTGAGTGCTTTGCTAACAAGCCACAGGTGAGCACTTCATGAACAGCTACAGCTGTGACCATATGCTTTGTTCTGTGGCCATTGTACAGTCAGCCTCTGGTGCAATGCACCTGTTAGATTATTAGCTGTTTTTTATTGATGGGTTTAAAGATCCTTAAATGTAGGAGATAGTTAAACCAGAAGCTGGATGAAGAGGAAATATTACCAACGAGTAATGATTCCTTACTGGTGTCATTAGATGCTTTGGTGTATGCCAGAGGTGAACATATTAGATGATATGTCAGTAGATCAGGTTCCATTTTAAAAAGTGATGTGAGGGTTTTTGCTTCAAATATCTGCCCACTAGCAACTGGAATGACACTAGCAGTTCATTTCTAACCGAGCACCATCCGGTACTACTGATGAAACACTAGTGACCTGGGCAAGATTCAAATTAGTGACCCAGAAGTGAAAGTCTTGGTATCCTATTACCAATTCCCCTGATCCAGCCTTGGATTGAGAACTGCTTTAATCCTCAGAGAATCTGCCTTTCACTGAAAGGAATGTCAACAGTGATTTTAATGGGAATTTTCTGTTATTCAAGTGTGTGCTGTTAGGGCCAGGTGAATAGCTGAGTTGAGCTGTTGGTGAGAAAATCGCCCCTGTGTGGACCTCACGCATAAATATTTGGGGAGTTCTGACCTTGCAATCAGAGCTGACTGTTTCCTCTCACTCTATATTTTTGAGTTAATTTTAGAAGCAGGATTGGATTTCTCATGTTTTTACTCAGCAGCTCTTCATATACGTGTTCCTGAAGTTGTTTTGAAAGTGCCCATGCACTTTACTTGTAAAGCGGAAGAAACAAAATCCTTCTAAAGCCTCCCTTAGGCCCAGCTGGTCTACAAAGTGATGTGTATAAGGATCTCAATCACCTGTGTGGTCTGTGCCATTTTGTTCCCTCTTGTAAACACTTGACATTGTGGTGTTTGTTTGGCACAGTTCACATGCTGCTCAGCGCTGCATGCATGTATGGCACTCTGTAAATGGTTCGTTGCAATAGTATAAGAAGTTATCTCTAGCCAGTGAGTTTGAAACACCCTGTTGATTCCTTTGGAATTGCTTCAGTTTCTTTCAGGTGTGGATGCCTGGTGTAAAATGTGCAGTGAAGGGGGCCTCCCATCAGAAATGCAGGACTTGGAGCTGGCCATCCATCATCATCAGTCTTTGTATGAACAGGTGACCCAGGCCTACACAGAGGTAAGTGTTTCCAGGAGGAGAATTTTAACAGCTGCTAACAGATTGCTTTGCAGTAATATATATATATATGATTATGCATTTTGGGGCTATTTTCATTAAATAAATCACAGTTTTCCTTTCCATTGCCTCCTTGATATGACTGCTTAGTAGGGGTAAAGCTAATAAACCTTTAAAATGGTTCTGGAGAGAGATGTGATCTCTTTACTCATGACTTCAGACAGGAGGTCATATTTACTCCCAAGCACTGGGCCCCATAGTGCAGTAACTCAAAATGGAGCAACAGCACAAATTGCCTCCAACCCCCAAACCTCTGGGATACCTACAGCCATCTAGCAGGGCAAATCACATGCTGGCCAGGAAATAGACTGTCTTGTGTTGCTTTTCCTAGGCATCCTACAGTAGTAGAGTTGCTGACCAAATCGGCTCCCCTTGGGAGTAAGTCCCGGTTCCAGTGCAGTTATTTTAATGGAGCTAGAGGCTGTGATTTGATTTACTTTGCACCTCATCATCTCTTTTCAGTAACATCAAAGTTCCAAGACAGGAAGCCAGAGATGCTAGGTCCTTATCACAGCAGAGGATGCAAAAGACTGTGCCTTAAAGTTATATCCATTTGCATAAGCTGGTTTCTCTAAAGAGCTTTTGTAAAAAGGATGATGTCAAGGTTGCTAAAACTAAAAACTGCCTTATGGCACTTTGGCAAAAATCCTGTAAAGATTTTCATTATGCTTTTCCCTCTGAATTGATCCAGGCTGCACTGGGAAATAACCCTCCACAAACAGCTGACATTCAGTGCAATTCACTACAAATAGACCAGTATCTATATTCTGTCTGCTTAGCATTGAAGCTGAGCTACAGGCTGTTCCCAAGCTCTGTGAGCTCTTGCCTAGGAATGAGTCTGTGAGATCTGACTTAGGCCTAGGAATACTGTCCCCTGGTCTAGATGGTATAGTGTGAGGCCAGTCTGCTTCTGTCATTCCCTTTCTTGAGGCAGCTGTCTGTTTATCATGTAGTCAGGTATCAAGCATGTTGAGCAATAATCTACAGATGTCACAATCTGTTTAATGCTTCCTTTTTCTTATGAGATGT